TACCTCCATGTGGACATACGTATTCCAGATTTGTTTCAATAACTTGTCATCTCCCACCGGTTACAAGACAAGCCAAATATTCAATCATTTTTTAGAGAAATTTTAGAGAAATTTCTTAAACAAATAACAACTAAACTGATAATTTTCTACAAAAGTTTATATATAGTAAAATTATTTCGTAGTCAAACCAATTGATTTCATAGTCAAAATAAAAAAAAAAAAATTTTTTGTAAAATCGCAGATGGAATACAGAGGAAATCGCAGATGGACTGTGTCCATCTGCGATTTAAGCCTGCCCTGCCCTATATATATATAGAAAAAAAATTATAAAAAATAATCCATCTGCAAATGTACAAGTGGCTAAAGCACACTTGTGCTTTAGCCACTTGTACATTCGCAGATGGAATGTGCAAATCGCAGATGGACCATTCCCATCTGTGATTTTTGTGGCCATTTTTGCAATTTCAATTTTTTTTAGCTATTTTCCACAAAGTGATTAGTATTTTTGGCTAACTGGTTTGATTAATTTTTTAACATAGCTTGGAAGACTTTATTTCACGAATGTATTTTCTTTTTCATATAAAACATAAATTTAATAAAAATTTTATTAATTATTTTATATATTAAATCTATCCGATCAGTATCTTTCACAAAAGCATGCCCACCTTAAGTGAGATGGATTCCTATCTTTCGTAAGGCATTTTAGCCTCCTTTTTGAAACCGTTAAACTTACGCGGGTTTTGTTACGATTGTCGAAATACACTCGGTTTCTACGAACCCTAGAAGCCAACGGCTGATCTTGACATTGTCGTCTGATGGCTATGGCAGGTTTGTATAGGAGAGTTCTTCCATCACCTCCTGCTATTGATTTCGCTTCTCCCGAAGGGAAGGTGGGTTGTTTACTCCTATCGTTTTACCATCTGTGCTCGATTAGGTTTTTGAGTTTGATGAATTTGTCTTGCTGTTTTGAAACTAGTTTATTTTGCTCCGTTTTAGTTTTGTTTCGATCGTGTAAATTAGTATGTGGATATCAGTTTGATTTTAAAAAGGTCGAATGTCGACTAAATGGGTGTATGGATTGAGTAAGAAGACGTAATATGTTTAGAGTTCAAAAAAATCGAGATACATTATGACTCAGTAACGCACTTACATCAAATGAACTAATCTTCGACTTCAAATTTGGGATAATTTGCATCTAAGTTTATAACAAGTGTTACAAGTAGAATACGATTGATTTCAGTTTGCAGAAATTATGTTGCCATTTTTCATTTGGTAAGGACTAGGTTTGACTAAAAGAACAGAAGTGTGGATCTTCTTCTCGGAAGGAATTCCTTGTATTGCTCACTACATCTGATTGCATTTCAACTTAAGACTTATCAAAATAGGCTTTCAGGAGTGCTTTTAGCACTCTTGTTATGGTACTAGTTGCGAGATGTTAGCCATGGCCATTTTAATCACATTAAGCAAAATTTTCTGGTCAAGAGTGCATTGTTGCCTTAACCACTACTTTTGCCTGCTTGTTCCTTGCAACTAATCTTCATACTTGCTCTACATTTGCAGCAATTGTTCATAGAAGCTATACAAGGTGGAACCATGGAAGGCTTTTTTAAGTTAATCTCTTACTTTCAGACACAATCAGAACCTGCATATTGTGGATTAGCTACCCTAGCCATGGTCTTGAATGCACTTTCTATTGATCCAGGAAGAAAATGGAAAGGTAATCTGTATCCTTGATTTGGAAAATCCTGATTATCTAAGAAAGTAAGAGATCAATAAGGGTATATAAATAATTTCACTCTTATATTTTGATAATCAGTTCTGTTGCAGGTCCTTGGAGATGGTTTGATGAGTCTATGCTGGATTGCTGTGAGCCTCTGGAAAAGGTTAAAGCTGAAGGCATTTCCTTTGGGAAAGTTGTATGCTTGGCTCATTGTTCTGGAGCCAAAGTTGAAGCTTATCGCACAAATCAAAGCAATATTGATGACTTTCGCAGGCATGTAATCGCGTGTTCCACTTCTGATGATTGTCATTTGATCTCATCGTATAACAGAGGGACTTTTAAACAGGCTAGTTTTAACTTTAAGCTCTAGTGTATGTTGAGTTTTCACCATTTTTGTTGGATATGATAATATGATATGATGAAAGTGATTTCTTTATAATGCAGACAGGTAGTGGGCACTTTTCACCGATTGGTGGTTATCATGCAGGAAGGGACATGGTGTTAGTTTTGGATGTTGCTCGTTTTAAGTATCCTCCTCATTGGGTCCCACTGACACTCCTGTGGGAAGCCATGGATACCATCGATGACTCAAGTGGATTTCGTAGGGGGTAAATAATAAAACTTTAATTCGGTTAAACTTTAATAAGAATAAAATTGTGGTAGATTTTGGGGTCATGGTTAATATCTTCTTCTTTCTCAGATTCATGCTCATATCCAGGCTTCACAGATCACCTGCACTTCTGTACACCCTGGTTTGTCCATGTGATTAAATAGTGAATTTGAATGTGAATGTGATCTTAGTGTGTTGTTTATAATCTTGGAATCTTTGTTGTAGAGCTGTAAGCATGAGAGCTGGATCAAGATTGCTGAGTATTTGGTTGAAGATGTTCCAAAATTGTTAAGTTGTAAGGATGTGAAAGATGTGAAGGATGTTCTTGCAATTGTTTTCAATTCTCTCCCATCAAAGTTTCTTGAATTCATCAAGTGGGTTGCTGAAGTTAGGCGAAGAGAAGATGCTGGTCAAACCCTAAGTCCAGAAGAAAAAGAAAGACTTGCTGTTAAGGTATCTTATAAAAAAGAAACAACCAACACCTTAATAGTGTGTTGATAGTTGATACTTGATATAACATAACATTGTATATTGTTGTATGTAGGAAGAGATCTTGAAACAAGTACAAGAGATTCGTCTACATAAACACGTAACAGATTTTCTGTTAACTGGGAAATCAAGATCTCAAGACTCTCCATGTTTATGTAAAGAATCTTGTTTGACTGATATTGCAGATAGTCTGTGTTGCCAGGGTGCAGTGTTTCTAGAAGGAAACAGCCTGAATGGATTTTGTTGTCAGAAAACATGTGTAAAAAGCAATGGAGATGTACCTGTTGTTACAGTTGTCTCGGGAACAGTGACGAATGGCATTGAGGTACAACAAGTGGATGTGCTTGTTCCTTCATCTTTAGAAATGCACCCTGCAACTAATGATGTCCTCACTGTGCTTTTACTGGCATTGCCACCACAAACATGGTTTGGGATCAAAGATGAGAAGCTTTTGCAGGACATAAGTAGCCTTGTTTCAATAGATAGTCTTCCTACTCTGCTTCAAGAAGAGGTATCCCCCATATTCTCTTTGTATATTGTTAAGCAGTTCACATTAAGGGTTAAATCCAAATAATTAGATAAGACATTTTAATTTATAGTTTTGTAATAAGAATTAGGGCTATTGATCACGAGATTTCATTTATGGCATTTATATACACAATGACATTGCAGATTATGCACTTGCGTGGTCAACTCTACATTCTGAAGCGATGCAAAGATGAAGAAACAGAGGAAGATTTCGGTGCGCCGCTCATTTAGCATTCTTTAGAAGGTCAGATCGGTCTTTTTGCAGAACCAGATTCAACAAAAGTTGAAAAGGTTAGATATTTGATAACTAAAAAGGATACAAGTTGGGTCTCATCAAAATTGTATTTTAATATTATCTTTTTTTTTTTTCAAAAAATGTTAGATTATTATTATTGGTATAGTTTATTAAACTAAAAAAAAAAAAAAATAGTTATTGATGTGCCAATGTGATCGTATACATAAAATTTAATTGTTATCTACCTTACAAGGTGCGATCATTTGAAGATAGCTTTGGTTTGGAACGCAAATAAATTGTAACCTATAGAATGCCTATATATGATATGATGGTGGATATGGGAATTTCAACAGGGAATATATTATTAAAATAACTATTGTTTGTAAAGATTACAATGTTTTGGTCCTAGATATGAAATAACGGCTATGACATGTCCATACTGAAATGATGAAAGTATGTTATCGAAACGAGGTATGAAATGTGTTTGGAACTTATACATGTTTGGAAATTGGAATATACCATTGCTTGCTCATTGTGTACGACTTTATGAGATTTTAGGTACAGTCATACCACTGGGTCGTGGGCTTAATCATGCTTAATTATACTTACACTTTCATCCTTTATTTTATTAATACTTACATAATCCAGTCTAGTCAAGTCGAGCTAATAAGCTTAATTGTATTTCTGTTGTCATTATTTTGAGTAAATTACAAAAAAGTCTATGTGGTTATGTATTTTTCTTGAATCAAGTCCCGGGTTTTTAATTTCCTACCGACTGCCGAGTTTAGGGCTTACAATATTCGATTTAACTCAACTCCATGTGTGCATGTATATATGTGTGAGGACGTTCAAATAAGAACGCTAATTCTCATGATAAGGTAGGAACATATATTTTTATATGGATATCAATTATCAATGTTTATAACACAAAACTGATAAAGTTTGTTATATTTGTTTTTTTTGAAAAAAAATAATGAAACTTTAATTAATGAATATTTTTATTCTTTGGTTAATGATATTATCTTTTACTTTCAGATTTTATTTAAAAAAATTAAACTAAACTTATCAAATTTATAAATTTTGATCTTTTACAGTTAGATATCGATATCAATATACAAATGTATCACCGTTGATTATTGAATATTATTGTATTCACCAATGAACCAAGTTGAATTGTATTTTTAAGATATTTTTTTCTGAAAAAGAAAAACAAACATAATAAAAAAAATTTAGTTTTTATATTTTATAAATAGGCATCCATGGAATAAACAAATAAAATTGCACTTTTTGTAGTTTTTTACGCGACATAAATTTTTTTCTAAATATGCCCATACATATTTAGTGGTGCACATGCATGTTATGTGGAGTGTGGACAACTCTCGGATTGCATTGTATTAAAGTGACACGATATGTCAAAGAAATTATGAAGACATTTCCAAATGGCAAATGATAACTTTTTCTTTAGAGACAACGTTACGTCGACAATAATTCGAATGTTAAAATAAAATCTTTTATTATAAAGTTGTTCTTCCGTGCCGTCATTTTCACATTTTCATACAAACTAATAATAAGATAATATAAGAATTAATTCAAGTTAAATTGGAAATATATATA